TACTCCACTGCGTCCAGAACAGAACTCCAGAGTGAAGAGGCTTTGTTTCAGTCCAACATCCAGCGGAATGAAGTCTAGTACCTGGTGTCCATGGAAGAAAACATGCCCAGAAGCAGGACAGCAGTACCCATAGGGCCATCGCCAGCCAGGGGGACACTGGACTCCACCCCAGACAAGGGTGCTGGCGGCTCACTGCGCCCTCCTATTCAGAAAGCAGAGGAAGCTGGGGCTCGCGGAGGCGGGTGAGGGCGGCGCAGCCCAGGTGCCTCACTAGGCGACAGGTGGGGAGCAGGGTGGACACCGCGGAAGAGACTGCGAGCCTGCAGGGCGCTGCAGAGCCACAGAAGAGCAGGGTTTGGCCGAGTGGAGTCCTGGGGCAACCTGGGGGCTGGAATTGGGGTGGGAGTGGACAGCTGCTAGAAGAAAAAGTGGCTATAAAATGTCCCCATTCGACAGAATCATAAACCCACTGATGCAAGAAGCCTGACATGGCCCCGAGGAAAATGCTACACACGTCATGAGCCAATTCCCTGAAACCAACAGAAAAGGAAACTCTTGAGCAGCCAGAGAAGAAAGACACCCTATGCTGGAAGGATAAAGATGAGAACAGCAGCAGAGGATCGTTGGAGACCAAGCAGGCACAGTGGGACAACACAGTAGGACAGCACCGTGACCGCTTTTCAGGCAGCCTCAAGTCCTCTGTGCTGTGCCCCAGGAGCAGACCGTGGGGACCTGGAGAGCCAGTCTGCACTGAAGACACCTTGGGTGGGTCCCAGGCTTCCCTGTGCCACCCCACAGAGCTGCCTGACGAGGACCAGAACCACCAGCCCAGTGAACCTCTTTCTTTTGTGACTTACCCACACTGTGGTTTTGTCCCTAGCAACAAAATGGACAAACTCATTGAAAATTTTTGACAAAAATGAAAAAGAAATGCTTTTCAGACAGGCAGGGGCTGTAGAAGAATGACAGGAATGTCAAAGAAGCTTTCAGACAGGAGGAAAGTAGGACTGTGTGAAGAGCCTGGCGGTCGGGGTGGTGGACATGGTAGGCTTCCAGGCTGTTTTAAGATCTCTGGGAAGGACAACCAGCCATGTGGCGAGAATGCCAAAGACCCAGCGCAAAGGCCACAGGAGAACATGGGCAAAGGAGTTGAGTAGACCCTTCTCTGTAGAAGAGTCACCAGCGGCTGTCAGCAGAGGGTCCAGCCCTACTGACCCCAGGAAATGCCACACCTGTACTGCACACCTTCAGTATGGCCTTCACCCAGTGAGGAGCCCGTGCCCTGATGAGGGAGTTCTGATATCGCTGCCACACATGAACCTGAAAAATTCTGCTGCGCCCAGTAAAGCCAGCCAGACAGAAACTGCACGACCCGCCTTGAGGCCCTGAGCAGTGGGGCTAGCAGCAGCAGAAAGCAGAGGCCGGGACAGGGCAGTGGGAGGTGCTGCTTGAGGGCCCAGTGTCTATTGGTGGAGACAGAAGCTTCCAGAGGAGACAGCAGTTTCTGCTCAGCAGCTTCCTGTACTTGATGCCATTAACTGCAGGTTATAATGTAAAATTTGTATCTTTAGCACAACAAAAATAATTTTTCAAAAAGCATTTGTTCAAACAAAAACGTATTTGGGATTTTATGATAAATGCAGACAACATTTATGATGACAATACTAAGGCACTAAGGCCAAGAAAGAAGTGGGAGTGCCCTGTTGGAGGTTCCCAGGGGCTGTGCTTGAGGGCCCAGGCACAGGCAGACACCTTGAACAGCAGGCCCAGCCTCGCCTGCAGCTGCGCTTTCTTGGTGTTGGGCAGACCCGTGTTCTACGGCAGCACGGTGTCCTGGAGTGAGATGCTGTTGCTGGGAAAGCCCAGAGAAGTAGGCCGGTAAAGACCAGAAAATGGGGTGATAAGGAAGTCATCCCAAAGGCAGAAAAGGAGAGAAGGGATCGAGAACAGATGGTGCAGGAGTAGCAGGGTGGCATGTTTGAGCTCACCATCACCCACGTTAAATGTGAAAGTCCAAATGAGAACCTCAGCTATACAGGACAGAGGCCACTGGGCCTGTTTTTTGTTGTTTTTTAACAAAAAAGAAAAACCTAAGCTGGGAGCAGTGGCACACACCTGTAATCCCAGCTACTCAAGAGGCTGAGGGAGGAGGACCATGGTTGAGGCCAGCCTGGGTCTTTTAACAAAACCCTATCTCAAATCTAAAGGCTGTGGATGTAGACAAGGGGTGGAGTGCTCTCCCCGCCTATGTGAAGCCTGGGCTCAACCCACAGAGCTGTCTTGATGGTCTAGAAGAAAACCGCTTGAGTGTCAAAGAACCAAGTTAGAAGCCAGAGGGTAGGATGAGCATCTGTCATTAGGCAGATTTCATGCCGGTGGCATCCCAGGGAAGTACAGGCCCAACCCTTAGCACACCCAGCATGCCCAGCACATCCTGTCACCAGGGCGGGCACAGCCTTTAGCCACACCTGCTGACACGTGGAAGTTCCAGGTGCTAAGGCCACTCCTGTTATCTTCCTGTCCCTCTGAGCCTGCCTTGCGCTGGGCTCAGGGAACCCAGCAAGGACAGCTGCTTCCTCCTGGCAGAATCTGAGTCTCCCTGGCTGGACCCTGCTGTGCAACAGCCTCCTGTGTGGCCACATAACCCTGCCCCTCTCATCTGCCTTGCACTCTAGGCCTGTGCTGCCCCTTGTGAGGCCACCTGTGCCTTCTAGGAATTTCACAAAACGTTCAGCTCCTTGCAACCCCCCCACCACTGCTTCCCCCACTCCTCTGCCACAGACAGCAAGGAAGGTCGGGTGGGCTCAGTGGGCTCTATCCCTGCCTTTGTTCCTTTAGGGCTTTGCCTGCCTATGACAGGGACACAAAACAGGCCTGCTCTGAGTAGCAGTGACCCCAGGGGCTCTTGTGGAAGGAGCAGCACTGGCTGCAGCTGCCCCCTTTCCATATCACATGAGCCACGGTGGTTGGGTTTTGCGCAGTGTGAGGGTGGCACGTGGCTGCTGTACTTTGGTTTCGTTGCTGCTCATGAGCAGATGTGCAACCTGGCCCTCCAGATGCAGGGTCCTCCCGCAGAGTAGCTGAGTTCTTACTGGTGTGGCTTGAAACTCAGCCTGGTGGAACCAGACCCTGGACCACCCAGAGAACTTGGGCTGCTCCAGACATGGCTCTGTTTGGCTACCAGAGGTCCACACTGTCACCCCCATCCCACCCCCAGTGAAGGTGGGACAGCCAGCCCTTCTCAGAGAGGGGCCAGCTGCCATCCCTGCACACCCACCAGCCTTGGGCTCTGCTTGTGCACATCTGCAGGGAGTCCAGGCCATTAGCCATGAAAAAGCAGAGGCTGTCCTTAAGAGCCACTCCTGGCCTTGTTGAGGGTGCAGTTCTGCCAGGTGTCCACCGGGTGGCACCAACAGCATATCAGTCCAGCTGCTTGGACTCCATTGGTTCTTGGTGCTCTAGCTGTGCCCCTCCCCCTGCAGCCTTTCTTGGCTCTGTCCTCTATCAAGCTGCTCCTAGGGGCTTCCTGGAGCCTTCTTGCACTGTGGCCCAGGTCATTACTGCAATCTGCTCCATCCTTCCTGGGAGTCCTGCTCTTACTAGCTGCTCTGCCTGACAAACAGCAGCAGGAGCTGGCAGGCAGCCTGGACAGCCTTTGGGGGAGAGGGTTGGGTACGGGGAGCAGGAACAGTGCAGGTGCCCAGCAGCATCTTCCCTTGGAGTCTCAGGACTCTAGCCAAGTCCTTGCACCCCTGAACTCACTGGGATGTGAGGAAAGGGCTCCTGCTGAGCCTGGAGAGCCAGCTTCCCTAGCCACGAGCCCCACCCAGCCCCAGCAGAGCCAGCCACAAGCTTGAAAAGCAATTTTTATTGAAGAGTTTGGAGGGAAAGTATCATAATAGTAAAAATGCTAAAGTTGACTGTTGTAAAAAACGGCGTGGTACAGCAGCGGGCGCCGTCTGGCCAGGGGCAGGAGGGCCAGGACACGGCCTGGAGTAAAGCATCTGGAAGGACAAGTGCTAAGAGACATCTGAGTGGAGGC